ATCTGACTACTAATGTAACTCCGAGTTAGAGTGAGTCTTCCCATGCAAAAAAAGGAGATGTGCAAAGCATTGCCACATATGAGAAATGTGGATTATTTGCAGATAATTTGCAGTTCACTGCAAAACAAAAAATCATTTATCAGTAGCTAGGGTCTGACTCAACGTCAATTTATCTTTGCGTGTCCATATTTGACCACATTTCAAAACATCCCTAAAATGCACTATGAATTTCCAAATGGGTACTTTTAATAATACAGTCATCTTCTTAACTACTACATTTTCTAACAAGAGCTTGTTTTGACAAATGTTGCCAGCTTTATACTAAGTAAAGTGTAAAGTCTGATCACTTTCTACAAAATTCACAGATAAAATTTTCTACCTCAGATACCTCCAATTCTGCCCTAGTAGCCACTTGTTCAGGTTTAAGCTCCCCCACACTTTTTTTTAAAAAAAATAATTTCTAAGTGTTGATTGCAACTCAGTTTTTGAGGAATTTTCAATGGCAAGCAAGACTAAAATTAAATTACATCTTATACCTCAGTAAAAAACAGAACCCAACATATTACTGCATCTAAAATACCTGTCTGATTATAAGATTCCAATTATCATAAAAATTTCAGAAATCATTTTTACGTGCACCCTTAGGGATTATACTGAAAGACACTATTCACCTTTTTCTCATGTAATTTTAAAAAAGCAAAGAAAAATAGTGAATGCACCTTTTGCTCATAATGGTTTTTTTTTTAAAAGTCTATACCAATTCCACTTAAAATAAAATTAAATTCCCAGAAAGGATGGGGATTTCCAAAGCAGATCTTTCTTTTAAAATCATTATGCAGAAAACACAAGCAAGAGGTTTTGAGCACAGATTTCTCGTATTCACTGAATTTAAAAGCAAAAACAGAAAAAAGAGCATTCCACTACCATGAAGAGGTGGAGGCATCAAATTATAAAGCACATCCCATTTATTGCTCAAAAAAAAAAAGCCGATACCAAAGACCCATAAAGAAAAGGAGTGGACAAACTTTTCTACTTTGTTTTGAACGGACAGCAGTGATTAATTATCTATAACAGCTAAATTCATATGAGGTTGATCTGGATAGCAATGACAGCAAAGATTCAGATGAACAGCAAAAATCCTAATCTTTAAAGGTGTTTTTATGTATAATAATTTTATAAATGAATACATTCAAGCTTTGTGATACCAACCCATTGAATACTGTCCTAACCAGTTGAACGTTGTTCCAGGTTTCAATATTAGCCAAATTTATATGCATTTTGTTTTATTTTTATCTCTATTTTACATATGAGGAAAAATCTTAAGTACTAAACTGGTACAGTTCACAAAGTTTTATTTTCTTGTTTCAATGATTAAAGATCAACTAATACAGGCCAAAGAAGAAGTTATAGCTATATCCTTACGAATTAGACATTATCTGCAAAAGTTTATAAAGTGTATTTGCTCAAATTAACATCTCCACTCTAGCTGAGATTTATTTTACTCATTTAAAAAGAAAGCTTTGTCACACACAGTGATTAATTAGCAGCATCTGGGATATCTGAAATGGGATTATTGCTTCTGCTATGCATCTCAAAATTTAACCCTCTTTATATGTGTAAATGTAGTCACTGAGAGGAGAGAGTGCTGCAAAGCACTCATTTAATGATTACAGTATTAAAACAAAATCATAAGTTCTAAAGATGTTTAAAAAATAGTGACAGTGTTTCATTGTATTCTTCAGTTCAAAAACTCTGCAGACGTTTATTATCTTCTCACAGAAGATGCTTGTCTATATTTTATGGTCAGCAGTTCACAGAAGAGTAAATAGGTTGGGTGTAGAAGAAAATAAAAAAGGTGTTTCTACTTACTGTTAGGTGATACTGCCTCCATATTTCTGGGCAAGCCTGGAAAATAAAAATATTGATCAGCTAGGAGCATGAAACAAGGTGCTTTACAGCCTGTTGGTTTTGGCATAACACAGTATCCACCGGTGTCGGTCACAGGAAAATAAGAAGCTTAACTGAAAGGGTCTGCATTTCAGCTTCAAAAACCTGGCTAGACAGTTTAATTGAATTTTACACTGGTTTAACACACTCCCTGCCATTGTCAGAAAGCCAGTAACAGTTTTCTCTCTCCCCTTCTTCTCTGAAGGTTAGAAGTTTGGGAGAGTAACATGCTCTTAACTGTAATAAGTATTAATACTGCAAAACAAACAGAAATGAATTTAAACTCTGCATTTTCTACCATTTTAAATTTACATAATGTTTTGGAAATTAAATCACAAGGTACTTCCCTTTCATGTAGGAATAGAAATATTTTAGTATTTTTGTACATATCTCTATCCTAATCAAAATATAATTGTTACATGCAATAATCCTCAGTAGCCTAATGTCAGATGAGTTGTAAACAAGAAGCATAACAGATTGCTTTAATGTTTCTATTTTTACAATGGCTTGCTTGATTTTTTTTTTTATTTTTTTTTTTTAAACTTGCCAGACTCGCACACAAACTTGTAAGTGCAGCCCTTTGTAAAAAATTTTGCAGAGCAGATTTTTGAATCACAGCAATAACACAATAGACCTGAGGAATACATAAGAGACAGGAAAGAGGAAAATGTGGATCTTCTTTAAACAAAATCAGAATGTGTTAATGATCAATGAGACAGAGGTTACTTTCTCAAGGGTTCTTAATATTTTTACAAAATCTGCAATAGGTCTGTCTTCTGCTATGACCCCCAAGCCATAAACAGACACAGAAATAGTGGTACTTTGTCTGTTAGCCATTTTAGTGTTTGAGAGTATGCACACAGTTACTTCAATGGAGGTCTTTCACTTTTGTTTAAAACATTTACCCTTTTATTCAAATAGCTCCTTAATCATTTGAACAATTAGCAATTTGGTTTGCCAATCTCAATTTTCAGTATTTTAAGAAGAAGTATTAGTTATTCTGTGTCTTCTACATAATCAGCTATAGCTCCAATTTCAAACATTGAAGCCTCATGACCACTTGCAAATGAGTACTATTAACATTTCTTTAGATTTCGAATAAATTTTTTGCTCATGCCTAAATTCTTGCCTTCTTTTATTCTGATAGAGCATGTTAATTAAAAAAAAAAAACAAACACCCAACAACCAATATTAGCAACTGAATCTCTCAAAAAATAATCCAAGTTTTTAACAGTCACCCTATGGCATATACAGTATGTTTTTCCCGGATGTGATGGAAATGATATTATTTATTATTCATTCTGTCAGTAACACAATTTTCTGGAGAAAAATCTACAATCTGTTCTGTGTAATGGTTCAACATTTCTCCTCTTACTCAAACACTGCATGTAAATATTTGAGCTTTATATTAATATTTCTATAAAGAAAATGTGTGAAATACATCACATTTCTAACAGAGGAACAGACTACAACATTTGACAGTTTGAACACACTCGAGCTGTCTTCAAGTGCAAACAAAAGGATTTTCCTCCTTTGCTAACTTAGGCAGGATTCAAAGGTGTGATATATAAACACTCTCTAGCGTATAAAAATATTGTATCGAAGACCTTGCCTTCCCTCTCAAACCTGAAAAAGGCTTCAACTGTACATGAGACTTTTGCTGGTTTAGCATAGGGGTAGCAGGCAGTTATTTATACATTAGTTCTGGATAGTTTTTGATTACCACAGTGTCCCCAGACTAATAAGGTTGAAAAATCGCAATCAATGAGTTGTCATATACTGGCAAAATGCCACTCTGTGATATGACCTTTACTCACACAGCAGCTATTTAATAATAATAAAAAAAATTACTTTATTTTTGAATAATACCTTGGTTGTTTTTTTTTTTTCCCCCACTCTGGACACAAAGACACCACTTATAGTGAAAATCTGTAACTCAGAGCAGTAGGAACTACAGTTGGCACAGCTCTTGCCAAAGCACTGGAAGAGGCACAGTCCCAGCCCCTCAGCAGTGCTATCAAGAGGTAGGTTTTATCATCACCATCTTTAAGGACGTTTTAAGGCTGTGGCAAAACTTAAGGGAGGTAGGAAGAAGGTGGTAAGGGAAAATTGGCCAAGCATATTTCTTCATTCAGATGGTGATTCAGTGTAATACTTTTCATCATCACAATGATCACTTACGAACTTCAGAAGTTGGACACTATAGTCAAAAACAGATGCCTAGCTAAACAACGGTTTTTTAGAAATGATGCTTTTAACTAGGAGTCTTATTACCTTGCATCAGCTCAGAGTTACTGTCTGCATCTTCTATCACGGAACGACAAAAAGTATAATTAACAATTACTACTAAATACTGGCTTCTCAAATGAAGCAAAGAGGTTTGCTATGGAAGACAGCATAACCAAATACAACCACCACCGAACCTGTGATTTTTCTTATTTATTTAAAAGTACTTAACCATGAATGGCCCTCATTTAAAGAAAAGCCCTCGTGGTATACAACTACTACGTCAGTGTGATGAACTACATTAAAATAAAATTGCATTTATTTCCTGCCCCAGTGGTCTGACCTTGCTAGCATTTAGATGTACCGGCACAAAAGGTGCCTACTCTTAAAAGCAGTGCCACCGTGGTACAGCTGCAAAAAGCGCAGGCGAGGCGCGCTTCCCCACACCTTTCGCGACGTCCCCGTGCCTCTTGCCACACAAGTGCCGGGCAATTAATTTTCCCAAATCTGTGCTGTTTTTGCGGCGGCCCACATTCGGTTCATTTGGAAGGGTGATTGTTCATATCCGAGCCCGATCCGGCTAAGGTTGCCACACCAGATGAATCAAGGCTGGATACTGCGCATTTTGACCCGTACTGAATTTTATCAGGTGCTAATTATTGTTTTACCAGAACAACGGCTTAATGCATCTGTTGTTTAATTCCCACTTCCCTATTCTCAAACGTGAACATCAAAGAAAATAAAACACTCAATCTCAAACAGCCCCTGACAGCAGACCAGGACTCGAGTGCTCAATAGACAAGGCCCTTGCCACCAGTTCTCATATTTCCACAACAATGAGCAAACACAAAAACAGCACTAAGCGGCCTTTCCTCCTTTCCGCTCCCCTTGGCCGGTCGTCTGCCTTGCGCCGAGAGGGCCCTCGACGGCAGCCCTGCTGGGAGCGCGGCGCGGGGGAGAGGATTAGCCTCGCTAACATGTGAGCATTTGCAAAAGGGAAGGAAAAACCCCGCTACTGTATTTGGCGTATGAATAACCAAAATGCACGCGCTGACAGGAGACCGGGACGGGCCTGTGGCTCCCCGGGAGAAAATGTAGCTGTGATGAGTGACAGGGCTTTCAGGAAATATGTTCACAATCACAGACAGTGAAGGCCATGACCTAGATCGTTTAAGAGCTTGTCTTGTCAAATTATCAAAAGCTTCTTCCTCTCTGAATAAAGAGTGACATAAGTGAGTGTCAGAAAGCTGCAGGCTGACAAGCCAAGCATACAATAACAGCATGCACGTCACATACTTGCCGAACACCGCCACGGCTAGCGGCAAATCTTAATGAGAGCGCGGCTGGCCCAGGAGACTTGGGTCCCTGCTGGCACAGCTACTCATCTCGCAAAAATCCTTCAGCTCCAAGTCAGTTATGGTCTGACACGACGACTACAATTACTAAACACAACTTTTTAACAGAATCCTCTGGTGCTTTGTCAAAGCGGCGGCTGCTAGGAGCTGCCCCGCCGCAAGCCACCACAATAAAACAAAAGATTTGCCAAAACACACACTTTTCATCACCTCCACATGGGAACTGCCGCGGAAAACGCACAATGCTTCCCTTCAAAACCACTCCTGCACGAGCAGATGTCGAGACCTCTCCCTGCGCCGCCAGCGCAGACGGCCGCCGCTGCTGGTGCTGAGTGGTGGGCTGAGCTGGTTAACCGTCGGCGTCGACCAGGCTCCCGGTAACATTTACCTACGCTTACCATTAGGTGGACATTGACTTGTCGCAGGTGTGAAAAACAGGGGACGCCACTGGGGAATGAGGAAAGAAGGGCAAACCCCTTGCTTTCTGCCCAGGGGATGGCCGAGGGCCTGTGGCACCACCGCCAGGAGCGGGCCCCGTTGGCTGCGAGGCCACCAGCCAGCCCCCGCAGAGTTGCCCCTGTGCCTCCAGCCGCATCCCGGCCTGCAGAGGTGGCCACATCCCCGCAGCAAGCACCAGCGTGGGTTCTGGAAATGACAAAGGCAGAAGGAAATCTTCTCGGAGAGAAGAGGCTAACGGTGGTTTACGTGGTCAGAAAAGATGTCAGAACACACGGAGAAGACACCAGCTGAGGTACCCAGCTGGTTCCTGGGAAGAGACGCTGCTTGCAGGGTGTTTGGGGTGTGCAGACATGCATGTGTCTTTACACGAATGGGGGCAGCAGGCACGGCACGGCTGAAGAGCACCAGGGCCCTGGGCACTGATGGCTGCCAGCTCCCAGACAAGCTCAGGCAGCTCACCGCGCATCCGCATGCTGTTTTTTCCCAAGTATGTAAGGAGACACTGCCCTGCCTGCCACATTTGCCTCCTCCCTGCCACATCACCCTGTTTATGAAGTTCTTTTCCCACTCTTGCAGCTGGCAGGTGAGGCTGTAGACCACAAGCCTCAAGACATCCACCTAACTGCCACCGAACCTGCAAAACACAGGATGTTCACAGGATGGGGTTTTCATCGTATACCTATATAAGCATAAGTGTATATATATATACATGTACAAACACACACACATATAGATACATGTGTATATGTGCACAAAATGTCCAATGTGCTCGTTACTAGGGGGAGCCACATACGGTCAAACAGAGCTGCACTTGAAACTTTTGAACAACTCTGCTACCTGCTCCTCTGATGGTCTTCCCCAGGAAAGCACCGGAGGTTGAGCTATTTCCAACACAACTCCATCTAAGACGACTCCATC